TGGATTTACAAGCACTTTATTTTAGCTCTCCCATTACCATCATCTATATTACAATGCACAGACTCAAGGAGACCTTCACTGACTTCATTGCAGCTCTGTAGCTGCTTGTATTTACTCTTAATGAAGACAGATTTCAGGATCACAGACTTCAAAACCTGTTGGTCAGAAAGATGCATAGTGGTTCCCATGGAAGATTTTTCTACTATCTTCTTGCTTCTCTAGAAGCAAAAAAATGCATGTACAACTAAAATAGAAGTTCGCTGCATTTCAGGAAAGCCCTGAAAGCGCAACTTGTACTTTCCTGAGTAATTAGGAGATAAAACAGTCTTATGTTGTCTGCTGAACAACTGATGGCTATCAGAATTGTTAAGACAATTTTTATCTTTGTTTCCAGGACTACTGAACTAAATAAACTGTTTCAGGTGTGCTGAGGAAGAGAGAAAGAGGGAAAACAGAGAATAGCAAGGTAAGATTTTTCACCGACAATTTGTTTTCTGCTTATAACTTATAAGACATAAATAAAGATGAAAGGTGTTGTAATTAAGAATTAGAATGAGTGGGTTTCTTGGCAGAATCAAAGAAAAAAAATATTAATATGCTGACCAATAAAATCTATAGGTAATAGTCAAAACACAATAAAATTCATTTGCCAAAATAGTAATAGATGTGGATGGTAAAAACAACCCATGCTTTTTGATTTTTGACATCACTGTCTTCAGCCAAGACCATGCTGTCCTTCATCTTTTCAATGGTTAAGGAATCTAATTTGAGAGTAACAATGGCTACAAAGTGACTGCAAATTCACGAGAAACATAAATATGAAACAATGATTTACATTTTACTAGAAGGAAAAATTCACAATGAATCTTACCACAGAAAACAAGTAAGGAGATGGTTTTAAATTGCATGTGACTACAATGAAAGAAACCCATCCTTAATTGGGCTGTTATGTGTGCCTTCAACACAGTGGTGCCTCTTATCAATTCTTATAAAGTAGTGTCTGGAAGTCTTTCCTTTACAAACCTGTTTTTCAGGTATATGCAACTGTGCTCTTAAATGCAATGAGAGCCTACAACAGACAGCTCATTTTCATTTGGTAAAAATACATACCCTGAATTTATTTTTTTTCTCATTTTTTTTTCTCAAGGGCTGTGTCTCCAGCCACAGAGACCTGGGCTATAAGATATAGCAAAGTCATCTGTCTTGCCTCAGCGTGCTGTGCTCATGTTCAGAGAATGTCCTGTTGTCAGAAACCTTTCTGAAGGTGCAGTTAGTTGAAAATTGCAGGTGTAGGCACTTGCAACTACTCTAACCATTTGTGCATCCTTCTGAGGGAAGCAAAGTCTGAAATGTAAGAGTGGCAGTATTTTGAAGGCAAGTGGAATATAATGAGGGTAATTTGTTTGGAAAGGTAGGGATAGCCTATAATTTCACAATGCATACTTTGAGAAAGGAAGAGCTGTGTGCCTTAAGGAGCTAAATATGATCAGCATGTTCTATTCTGAACACCTGGACATGCCTGCAAAATGCCGAACGTGTCTCCATCCAGGCTGGAAAGAAGAAACCCACTGCTGCAGGGTGGAATGGGTTCCTTTGTGCAAGTCAGCACAAGTCCCAAACCCCTGAGGTGGTTTTGAAGGTACACTGCTCCTAGACAAGTTATTGCCAGAGTGTTTGGTTAGTGGTGCCTGTTCCTCAGAGTGTGGATTAACCCCCACACTTCATTTTCCTTGTCTGTTTCTTTCATAAGACTCATGCCTTTCTGTTTGCAGGTCATGGGCTTATGCAGCTGAAGGAAGCTGGGTGGTTGCTGAGCTGAGCTGAGCTGAGCTGAGCTGAGCTGAGGTGGTAGGCTAAGTGGAGCACTTAAAGGGATTCACAGACAGTGAGTTGACCTCAGGTCCTTCAAATATTGTAGTCTAGGAGGATTTTGCCAGTATTTCTACTGGAAGTCTACCATGCTTTTTCTGTGTTTCACTGGCTGGTGCATTGGGAGGGACAAGAGACTGGGACATGGTTGACCAGGGCATGAATTAAATTGCTTTTTTCTTTAGCTGATCCTAGGCATTTCAGCCTGAAGTTCTAAGGAGAGAGAGTGGGAGTAGCAGAGTACATTTAAAGCTGCCTTTTCCCCAGGGTCAACAAATTCATAGTCTCTTTATCACTCCAAGTCTGGTAATGTGGGCTATCAGAATGGCTTCAGCTATGGGTGAGTCTATAAGCCACCTCCCTTAGAATAGGGTAGAGGTTTTCTTGTCTGCTTGATGCTCAAGTGACTGGAGGTCAGAAGAAATTTTCCCTCCTATTCTTCATCCTAGCTGCTCATGTGCCTCAGGTGAGCACTGTGATGGGACTGGAAGCTTGTCATCAGAAGAGACTTAAAAGGAGCAGGGTAATGTGGGTTGCTGAAACACAGTCGCATGTAAAATTCATGGTTCTCTCCTGTTTCTTCCTGGTGATGCCTGTGAATAACTGATCAGTGGCTGTTGTGATCCTGTCTTCCTCTGCTTCCCTCCCTGAGAGGTACCACTTGGGATGTGAAGCTGTTCAATAGTGACCTCATCTAGACAGCAGTATTTATAAGGCAATGATTGTTATTTTATAAGATGGTTCAGAAAATCATGTTTTCTGAGTGCCTCCAGCACTCGTGTCATGAGTGGAGAAGAGAAAGGCAATTACTCAGACATTCTGTGCTCCATCAGCCCTCAACTGATAAAGAAATCATTCAAGAAGAATTTGAGAAGCCCAAGAGAGTGAAAATCTTCCACTGTGCTGTGATCAGCATCAGAGAAATTCTTCCCAATAAACAGCTCCATCATATCCAGTAGCAAGGATCTCCAATCAGAAAAAAAGCAAGGGAGGAGGTTTGTACTGAGGATGGTATCTAAATGCAGACATGTCTACACCCCATACAAAAAAGAGTTTCTCTCAGAATGCAGCTGCAGCAAGTGTCAGGAGAAGCACATCTTTATGTGTTGGGGGAGAGCATGTTAGAGTGGAATGAACTAAGCTTCAGAAGTTCTGTGTTTTGAGGACTTTTCTTTTTCCATTTTAAACTTGTATTTCATGACTACAGAAGCCCATTTTTCAGCCAGGCTATTGATCAGCCATCTCTAGTGCAAGAAGTAGTTTGTATGGGCCTGAAGGTTTTTATGCTGCTGTGCAAACCATAAGTTGGTCATATGTGATCTTTTGTCAGTCAATAAACAGATCTTTGGAAGTGTTCCTAATTCAGGAGAGAAACCCTGACATCTTTGTTTCCACAAAAGATCTGTGAGGCAGGACCGTGCTGGTGTAAAAGAAGTGTAGCTTTAAGACTGGATGATGTCACAACTTTCTGTGCATCATTCAAGCAATATGGATTTCTTTATTTCTCACTAAATCAGTAAATAAATGTTAGCTAATATGACATACTGCCCCCAAAGTACTTGTCACGAATGAGTGTGCTTGAGATTGCCCAAAAAAAAGAAAGAGCTGATCCCAGGTGATGTATCAAGGCCAAGGCCTAAAAAGTATTTCTCAGATCACACTGCAGCCTGGAAAGGAGCAGGGGAGGAGAGATGCACCACTACAGTAATAAATATTAATATTAATAGTAAAAAAGTTCCCCCTTGAATAATAAATAAAAGCTTATACCTGTATACTGAGAACATCCATGAGTCATCCCACCCAAATTTATATTTGACAAGGGTTGTGTAGGAGGGCACTTGTGTCTGCTTTGTAAAGTGAAGCTCAGGGGTTCCCAGTGTTATAAGTAGATCAGTAGTTGTAACAAGTTGATTAAGTGTTAATTGTTAATTCATTGTTAGGTTATAAGTTAATTGTTATTTAATATATGTTTTTAAATAATGGTTAGTATTTGTTGTTAGGAAGTTCAGGTCTTCGTGGTTCTATTAGGGAAATGGGTAAAATCCGGTGGTGGGTGTGGGTGTGGAACCAGGGGTGACTCAGGGTGGCTCAGGGCTGACAGGGTACTGCTCAGCAGTATGGAGGACTGAGCAAGCCAAGAGAACACTCCAGAACATGACCTCCGAGGAGTTATCTGTATCGCAGATAACCATTGGTGGAAGAGGTGACCAATCATTTGACAGCCTGGAGAAATGATTGGTCTAGAGTGCACTGAGGACCAATGAGAGTTCTGGAAATGGGCCAATCAGAGAGGGGATTGTAAACGGACCAATCCTGGAAAGAGGAGGTCTATAAAGGTGGCCGTGAGACTTCACTTGGGGCCTTCCTGCAGAATTCGATGTCCAAGGGGGCACCTGGTGTACTTGTATGGCTGTTTGTCCAATTTGCTGAGAGGGGCTTGGGCTTATCCTGGGCTCCTGCCTTCTCCTGATGTTTCTCTTTTGTTTAATAAATGAGTTGACTTGTATTTTCACCAGAACGTCCAAGCCTCATTTGCAACACAAAGTTCCTGAGTGATGGGTCTGCACTTGGTGTCTGTTGGGGCTTTGGGTGCCCAGGGCCATGATGAGTTCCCTGAGCCGGGCTGGGGACGGCGGGTGGGGCTGGCCTGTGATGCGCTCTGGGTTCTGTGACAGCACAGGGGCCGTGTCACAATAGGGACAGCTGTAAAAGGCCCCAGCGAGCCCCACTGCCCCAGTAGAGCCTGGGCAAGCGGTGAGTGCACACGCAGTGGGGACAGGGCTGGAGGAGGGCTGGGCTGGGGCAGAAGCGCTGACGCCCAGGGCATGAGTTCTGTCCCTGCATCCAGGGCCCAGCCCCTGGCGGGAGCGCCTTGCTCGGGGCCTGGCGCTTGCGGGGACAGCGATGCAGGCCTTGCCACCTGCCAGCTGCCGGGGCCCTCTCCTTCCTGCCACATCCCTGCGGCTCCTGCCCCCCACTGTCTGTCTCCATTCTGGTCCCACTGAACAGCTTCTGTGTGTCCTCCTGCAGACCATGGCTTTATTACCATTGCTCTTCGTGCTCGTGCAAAGCCTGATCCAGTACCCGCAGCCGGCTGGGGATGGGCTGGATGAGGCCACGCACCNGTGCCTCAGGCATACTCCTGGCACTTGGTGTTTCAGCCCTGCAGCCGGTCCTGCCAATTCCGGCTGAGCAAAGGCAAGAAGAGCGTGAAGGTGGAGATGCTCTTTGGGGTGCGCCAAGGGGACTCTGACATTTTTGTTGTCAGCCAGCCCACAGAGGCCCAGAAAGGCAGCTCCAGCATCTCTGTGAGCAGCCAGCTTGTTGAGGCCAACTTCATTGCACGCACAGTGTGGCCTGAGACATACGCTGTGGCAGAGGTGAAATTCTTCCGTCACATTGCCAGGCAGGTGCCATGTGAGAATTTGCACCTGAAATGCCTGCAGGTCTTCACCTGCATCCTGAAGGGCACAGGTTTTTCCAGCTCTACCTGGAAGACCGTGGTCATGCACGTGCTGACCATTGTACCACTGTCCCGCTGGAGCAGGAGGGAATTTGCGCAGAGGCTGTGGGACATCATGGCATACCTGCACTGCTGCCTGCAGTTGAAACGCCTGGAGCACTTTGTGCTTGGCAGTGAGAGGCTTCCTGCAGAGATCAGCTTGTCACCAGCACTGCAAGGGGTTGAGCCGCTCAACCTCTTTGAGCACCTGGCCCGAGATCCAGCTGCCCACAGAGAGGCGATGCAAGCTTATGGTCAGCTGCGATTTCGCCTCTGGATGCTGCTCTCCAGCCACTGAGAGCAGTTCATTGCACAGAGCTGTGCTGGGGGGGCTCACACCCGATGGCAGCCACGTGAACACTGCACAGTTGTTGCATTTGTCACTGGCAATCCTGAAGCTGCTTTCCTGCTCCTGCGGAAGGAAGATGCTGCAGCACATGGATTCCTTGTGCAGACTCACATCTCTGAGTTGCCTTGCCCTTCACTTTCCAGCTACAATGATGCTGTTCCCTCAGTCTACAAGGCAAAAACTGGCTCCACCTACACATCCCCATAGAAGACAGTGAAGAGGTTGCTTGAAATACCTCAAAGACAGAAACCTAGCCTGTTAGGGACTTGATGTAGTTATTCAGTGAGCTGTAGCTTCAATGGTTTTGTGAAGACGTAGTTCCTAGTATATGAAAGTACAACAGATAGATTTAAGTCAGTTTACCATAGGAGAATAGGTAGTCCAAGTTTTCATAATGAGACTTGTTCATTAGCATTCCTTCCAGAGGCCCTTTAGTGTTGTCAGTATATAACTATTTTGTGAAGTTTCTCTTAGTTTAGGAAACTGAACTATCCTGCTGTATCTGTTTGTCTGGTTTTCAGTAATATTTAGATATCTATGTTGGAAGGATTAATAAAAGGAGACAAGTTTCTCAAATTGCCTGAAATGTGTCATTATTTGTATTTAACCCTCTGTATCTTAGAGAACATCCTTTCTATACTGTTGCAGTCAGCAACCTCAGGATCTTGTCCAGGGAAGCAGCAGGATTCTGGGGACCAGCATGAAACACCAACAAGATGGGCTTCTGGTTCATGAAACCATTTATTCAACATGGGAACAAACTTAGGTCCAGAACAGAGAGCTCTGAACAGAGGCACAGCAGGGGTTTTTGAGGGACAGAACTCCTAAGGGTTTCCACCTTTGAGGGTGGAGTTCAGGGTCAGGGACCAGTAGAAACACACCAAGGGAGAACCCCCCAGGGACTCAAACCCAATCAGAACTCCTGGGCCACCCTTCAAAAGGGGTTTGGGGTGGGACAATGTAACCCTTTGTCATCCCTGAGGCACACTGCCACACTATACTGCTTCCTGAAATAATCAATTTTTGCAAACAGAGATGTTGGATATATTAAGTATGCTGTCTTTTGAGCATTTCCATAGAAAAGCTTGAAGCCTGATATGAAAATGCCCTGAAGTGCCTGAAATTTTGCAGCTGACTATTCCTGAATCTTTTAGGAATCTTTGGAAAAGTTCTCTTTACAGTCAACTATTACAGGCTCCTGGGGAACACTTCAGTCCTAAAAGATGAACAGAGAAGTCCCTAACTGCAAAACATGTGGTCAATTTTAAACTCAGAATACCTTAGGAATTGGATAAATTGCTGTAATCATACTATAAATACTTTTATTATTTCAGAAGTTTGGTTGAGAATTTCTACAATGCCCACTTAAATCTTCATGTGTATTCTCCAACATGAGAAAGGACTTACTTCTACCTAAAGCAAAAGGATGTGATCTTCGTTCTTTGCTGTATATGAGAATTATAAAGCCTTTAATTTCAGAGTCCTTCAAAGGTGTCATTAGGTGTAACTGTTTTGAAAGACATTGAGATGTCTGCTAATTTAGGTGTGGCTTGTCTTTAAAATAAGTCTGTGTAATGAGTTTATCACTGGCTAAAATTGGCAGTGCATATGCTAGAATTATTTACTAATTTCCTGCTGTGAGATATGAATTAGGAGGAGGGTAAAGCAGGCTTAAAGCTTAAAAAGTATAAAGAAAACTTTATTAACAGAACTAAAAGAATAACAAGAATCCAAATAAAACCTTCAGAAACACTTCTCCCCTCTACACAACCTCTTTTCTTTCCCAGCTGACAATGTAGACACAAAACCTGGGATTTTCCATCAGTTACCACATCTACAATAGTCTTTCATCAGTTCTTGTAGGGAGAGGAATTTCTCTCACCATGCCATGGAGAGTTCTTCACAAGAAACAGTTCTCTTTTAGCTTTTAAATTTCCTGAATAGCAGCTGCCCAGAAAATCTGAAATTTTGAAGTTCCTCCCAGTTTCACAGCCTTTCCACAGCTGAGTTCATGGGCCATGTCAATTTATGGGGTATTATTTTCAGGATGAGCTGTTCAAAAGCAAAGGTTCTCTTCATCTATCTCTGAGATCTTCTTCATTTCTGGGAACAGAGGTCTTTTTCTCTCCCTGGGGGCAAAGGGTCTTCATCAATCTCATCTCTCTGTCTGTTTAAGCTTCTCATGGGATCACAGCTACTTCAACATCTGCTTTGCTTCATTATGGATGCCTCTGCTCGTGTCTACAGTTTGAATACTCTATCTCCCCATACCTTTTCATGAATTAAACAGGATATTCTAGTGTGTCATAGTCCATGGTACATGGCCTTACCAAAATAACTTTTAGCCCAATATTAAGGCATCTCCTCATTCTCCTTCCATCTGGGATTTGATTCCTTCTTTACTGACCTTGGTGTCTTCTTATTGTCTTCTACATGTCTTCACTCTGTCCTTCTCTCTTACTTGAGAGAGGATCAATGTTTTGCAAGTCTCCTCTGTGCAGTGAAAGAGTTAATACCTTTCCCAGGGTCTGCAGATTGTCATGATGGTTTCTGCCAGGCAGTGGTCGAAGCAGTCACAGTGACGGATTTCAGGCTGTGCTTGGGGCTGTACCAAGATCTCGGGGGGCCCAGCCAGAAGGGTGGTGGCCACTGTGGCCGCATAGCTGGTCTCCGGTCCCTGCTTCGTTCAGTTTCAGCTGCAGGCCCATGGCTTCCCCTCCCTGTGCCCAGCAGCCACTGGGGCCATGCAGGCCATGGAGAAGTGTGTCTGTCCCGGCCTGGAGCTGCTGCCAGGGCCCAGCGGGCCGTACCCCGGTTCAGCATGGGCTGGCAACGGGGAAGGGCTTAGTGTGGACAAGATGTTAACAGCTGCTGCCCGGCCCAGCCTCGGCTGGGGCCTGCAGCCTCCTGGCCCCCGCCCGGGAGCCACTGGGGCCCAGCCCGGCCCCAGCAGACCACAGGGGCTGTGGTAGAGCGAGGCCGGTGCCCAGTTAGCTCTTCAAGGTGGGAAGCAAGAGAGAGATTTCCTGGGCTTGCCTGTCTTTAAAATGTGAATCTCACAGAGGTGCACCTACCTTCTAAATGGTTTAATAGGTTGTCAATTTTCAGAGCTAGCCAGCTATTGTTTTTTTCCAGGTACTGAGGAAGCTCTTAGCAGCTTCTCTCAGAGAAATCATTTCCATGGGTGGCTTCTTCCCTCCTCACCAAATATCACTTAAAACCAGCACAGTCAGTAATTGGTCGCAAAGGGAATTCTGAGTCTCAGCCAAGTTGATTGCACATTGTTGCATTCTTACACCATGCTGGAATTGAGGAAGGGAAGCATGGTCACCACACATGATTTGATGCTAAGAAGTCTAAACATGTTTTATAAATGCAAATACATATTATCAGAACAGAATAAAATTTTTACTTTTGAAGACTTTTTGCTGTGGCTCTGCTGCTGAAGATTTTTCAAGTAAGCAATGATCATGGTGTTGTAAGCCAAGTCAACTGAGATACTGTGGTAAATGAATAAATCCCAGTCACTATTCCAGCTTCTACCACTCAGCAGTGAAATACTAACCCAGAAGGGGAGTTAGCTGGATGCTTATTTAATCACCAGGCTGGAAAAAACTCTTTCATTTTGAGAAAAACAGCAAATAGAGACTATAAAACTGAGTGCTGAACATGTACTCATGAAAACCATCCCTGTAACTAACTTTGTTACTGTGCCTTGTGAGAATGTTGGTTCTGTGTTAGCCAGGCTTCAGAGATGCAGTGATTCAAATCAACAGCTTGCTCTAAGCTTGAAAATCATTGGGAAATGTGCTTTTCACAGTAAATTTTTCCAGTGTAATATCCTTGGTGATAGTAAACATGTCTCACTGTGAAGCAAAATTTCAACGCATAAGATAGGGTTGTGTTGTTTTATGGAGTGAGAACTATGATTAATTTGGCTGCAATTTAATCAACCCTCTGTTAATTGTAACCTTCTGTTAAACTTGTGAGGTTTTATTAGGTCATGTTACAGTTATAATCTTATCAGTGGTCATGCTCAGGGTCTTATTTCCAAGCTGTTTTCAATAGTAAATAACTGACCAAACCTGATTCTTCACCACTTTGCAACTTGTGTTGTCATCTGTGTCAGTAAAAAGGGAGTGTGCACTGTTGTCATTTCAATCTGGAATACTCTCCAGATTTTATCCTTATGATGTGGTGACATAAATGGTTGTACAAGGCATCAGACAGGGCTCATTCCCATTTGGGTATTTCAGTCATGAGGCAGCATTTTCCTGCACTGTTGTAACTGTTCTAGGTGGGGTTTTTTACTGAGAAATACTGGAACTGTGAAACAACAGAGGACAAATGCCCATTTGGGATGGTCTCTTCAGAGATCATTCCTCTCAAATAAGGAAATAGGGAAATAGAGAGCAGTCAGTCCTTCACGTATGTGGAGAATCAAATCCACATATTTTTGCATTTGACACTCTTGCAAAGGCCCATGCTTTTTGTGGCTTTAAGCAGGGAAAGTGCTTTTGTGCAAGTATTTGCACAAGCATATAATCTATCCTTCCTTAGATCAAATTCCTGTGGCTGTAGATGGGGAGGAATTTTTCCTCATATTCTGTATGCTAATTACTTGTGTCCTGCAGGTGAGGACTGAGGTTTTTATAGCACCATGTTAACCATAAGCTGCTCCTAAGTGATCTTGCTGGCAATTAATAAACAGATCTTTTAAGGTGTTACTAGTTTAGAAAACAAACCCTGACATCTTTGTCTTCACAAAAAATTTGTATGAAATGACAGTGCTCGTGTATAGCAGTGTAGTGCCCAGCGTTGAATATAATTTTTCAGTGTGAAGCAGGATTTTTTTTCCAAAGTACTGCCAAATAAATGTCACCTAGGGGAATAGGAGTGGCAATGCATGACAATTTGTTTTCAGATTGTACCTTAACAACAACCTGCATGGAGCCAGACAAATGCACACAAACTTAAGTAGACTTTTGACTGAGCCAAAAAATAATTTTCATAATTATATTCCCGTTAGTCAGATTAGTAATGATAAAATATTTTTCCTTCCAGAGTGCTGTTTATTAGCCAGCACCAGAACTTAATCTTTTCTCGCCTCTCACATGGTTTGTGAGATACCTTGGAGAAAAATGTTTGGGTGGGGTTTTTTTTTCCCTTTATTTCATTCAGGACTTTTTCTCCAAAACACTGACTCTAATTTTTGTCATGATGAGGATGTGAAAGTAACTTTTGCAGTAAGTCTGGCTTTTCTAGCAGGAATGCTACATTGTCCATCCAGTGCCTGGAAGGTGGAAATACCCTTAATTTTATGTTCAGTTAAATACAGGATTTGCTTTCTGTCTGATGATTTCCAAGTAGTTTAGTTTGGACAGTTTGCTTGTGGAAGAACTGATTCACATGTTTATTTTCTTTTCCCCAAAGTAATGACTACCCAACGAGTCTTAACTATCCTTGTGCTCTTTTCTATATGTTGTTTGTGTCCTCATCCAGGATTACATCCAGAGAGTATTCATTAGGCAGAATGTTACAGAATTTTTATTTTACAGCCCTTTAGCTTTTTTGCAGCATTATATATTCTTTCATTAGTTTCACAGAGCATAGTTTTTTTTTCTTAATTACCTTTTAAAAGAGAGTTGAAGCTACTGTTAATTCACAGTAAATTTTAGTGTCAAATTTTTGATTTTAATAAGGATCTTAGAAGTGTTACTACTGGATGTTCCCCTTACTATACCATCCTCATTGAATTGGAATAAATTATCTTTGATGATCCCTTCATTGGCTGGAGAAGGAGGCCCATGTAAACCATGTGAAGTTCAACAAAACCAAGTGCAAGATCCTACACATGGGTCAAGGCAATCCTTGATATCAACACAGACTGCATCATGAATGGATTGTGTGATCAATAGGTTGGGTGCAGCCCTTCAGACATGGACTTGGACTTGGGGATGCTGGTGAATGAAAAAATGGGTATGAGTCAGAAATTGTTGCTCACAGCTTTCAAAGCCAGCTGTACCCTCGGCTGTCCCACGAGAAGTGTGTTCAGCAGGTAGAGGGAGGGGATTCTGCCTCTTCAGTCTGCTCTGGTGAGACCCTGCAGTCCAACATTAAATTCTGGGGCACCCTAGTTTCTAGTTAAGAAAGACACAAACTTTGACATGAATCTTGAGAAGAGCCCTGATAATGGTCAGAGGGCTGTAGGACTTTCCATATGAGGACAGGCTGAGAGGTTTGGGGTTGTTCTACCAGGAGAAAAGAAGGGTCTGATGAGACTTTATTGCAGCTTTTAAATATATAAAGGCAGCTTGTGAAAAAAGATGAGCTTGGACTTTTTACCAAAGTCTTTAGTGACAGGACAAGGGGCAGTGGTTTTAAACTGGAAGAGAGTAGATAGAAACTGGATATAAGAAGGATGATTTTAAAATGTCCCTACCCACTATTTCCCACTCCTAATTATCCTTGGCTGGCATTGACCTTTTTGTTGCTTTACATTTGGTGCACCAAATATGATGAGGTATTGATCCTTGAGCATATGTATCCATGAACATGATAATATAAACATAATTAGTTTTTATAATTAGAATGAAAGAAAGATATAGCACACATTTTGCAGAGATCTGGCTTTCATGGTTTCTAATTTATGTTGAATTTCTGATTATTTTATGTCACACTGATAATTTATTAAGAAAATTTTACATAGAAAAATATTTTGCGAAAGTAAATATTACCCAATTTGGAATTAAAAAAAAACCTACTAGAGAACCCCAGAGTTAACAGGAACTGTATTATGAATCTGGAAAGACATGCTCTAAGACTGCACTTATCTCACTGGTATACTCCATGCTGCTTGCATATATTTATAAAAGACACTGATGAGTCATATATAAACATTTTGATTATAAAGATTTTCTTCATTTTCCCACAGACTTGCTGCTTTCAAACAGCTGTATCCCATTCCTGGGCTCAACAGAGGGGCTTGATTTTCGAACCCTGCTGCTAGATGAGGAGAGGGGCCGGCTGCTCGTTGGGGCAAAGGACCACATCTTCCTGCTCAACTTGGTTGATATAAACAAAAATGTAAAAAAGGTCAGTGCATTTTCCGTGGAGTGTATCTCCAAAATTAAATTCTGTTAAATTCTTTTTTGTTTGCTTGTTTGTTTTGTTTTGTGTTTTTATTTATTCATTTCTTCACTGGGTAACTGCAGATTTTGTTGTGCAGTGCAATTTACCAAGATTTGATATCTTACCTCCCATAGTTATATGTATTACATTTAATCAATTGAATTTCTCATGCTATATGATGTCCTGTGTGACTGATGACCTGCAAGAGATCAGGTATGTGGAAGAGCCCTGCAGTGCATGAAAATAGCATAAAAATATCAGCAAATAGGAAAAATGTAGCTAAGAGTGTTCAAGTCCTCTGGTCATGGTTACCCTCCTCATTTAAAAGCATTTGGAAGGAAATAACTGAAGACAGCTCTTTCATTGCTTCCTGGCATCACTGGGATTGCTTTACTATAATGCTGAACAGAGCAGAGGCAATTTGGATGGTTTAAATTATATTAAAATGTAAGTGGCAATTTTAGCATTTCTGTTAATATCTAGAATTACTAGTGATAGGAAAAGCTTCCACTGGGATCTGCAGTAGTCCCTTGCCTGTGCCCGGTGACAATGTGCTAACTTGAGATAATAAGATGACAATTTAGCCTTCAATATTTCTAGCAGACATGGTAAACTGCAGCTTTTGTAAGCACAGTTGACTGCTATGACTGAGAACCAGATGCTTGCACAGGAACACATGAAAACTGGTTTCCTGCTTCTTCCAGATACGAAGAAAATTTGAATTCTCAGCTGTGTTTGGTATTTTCTTTAGGCACCAGAGGGGGGTTTTAAATTACTGCATTCTGCTGCCAGCTCTGAAGAGGTAACTGACCCTGAATTAATGCGATTGCAGGCAGGGGCTGAACAGGTGGAACAAGAGACTATTTTGCCCACACGTTTGAGAGCAACACTTGCTGTCATTGTATAGAAGAGATACAGTACCAGGCAGAATATCTTGTTCCTCATCCTGACTTCAGCAATGCTGCACATGCCAGTTTTTATAAAAATCGGATTCTGAGTATTTCAGGAAATTTTTTCCTGGTATGCTTTATCAAGCACTTACCTTGCTTTTGTCATCTCAGTAACTGACACAAAATCCACCACTCCCTCAGGATATTGCATTAACAACAGCACTGCTAATTAGAATTGTGAATTTTCAGACTGCAAATTGATTTTTGGTGTAGGCTTTATGAAGAAAGCAAGTTTTGTTTATGTGAAAAGCAGACTTCTGTTTCTGTGGGATACTGCTTGCCTCCTGAGGGAAGCTGAGTGCTGTCAACTCCCATTATGTTCAGTGGGGCTTTATGAGCCCAGACCTCACTGGAGGTGGTAGCACCCTGCATGAGCTGCCCCTCAGTCCAAGCTGGTGACATTTTCCCTTTGGCCAAACCACCACTCATCATTATGGACCTTGTGCTTTCCAAGAAGAGCAGAACACAGACAGAGCCAGGAGAACTTAACTTGCAATCAGACAGTGGTATAGATGTTACAGAGAAAAGACTCACTTTGTATTGGAAGGATAATTTGCATTGCCTAAGATGAATAGAGAATGTATGCTTACATATCTATGATAACCTGAAAGGAGGAAATAAAATTCCTAACCACTTGCATATATAAACTAAATATGTTTGCAGGTTCAAATACTTCTACTTCATTTAGTAGTAAACTAATAGGTTAATTATTCAGATAATAAACTTTCCAGAAAAAAAAAAAAACACTTGAGGTGAGATATATTTAACTGGGAAGAACTGACTGAGAAGCCTTGCAGCACATCCTGGTGTGATGATTTCCAAGGCCTCCATGGTCATTCAACAACTTTATAAACATATTTTCTTGCATAAATGCCCAGGTAACACCAGGCAACCTCACACAAGTGTTTCTCTAATTCCACTGTGCTTGGCTGCTTGAATCTTGTGAGTGGAGGGAAGGGATGACATGAAGGAAGTTGTGTGAGGAACTGTGTATAAATCTCAGTCGCTGAGGAGGATGCTAGAGGATACTCTACAGTAGCAGTGAAGTGTCAGAAAGTAGCATTTGCCGGTGCTGTGTTTAGACTGACCGGAGTTTGGGTTGGCACCAGGCCAGGCGGCTCACTTCCAGGCTTTCCCAGTGTGAGGAAACCACACATGTTGGGACTACAAGAGTCTGAAGTGTGTCCTTTGTACTCCTCTGGAGTACGAGTCGTCTGGAAAAAATAATCTGCTTACACACAGCCACTAAAATGAGTAGAAATTGATTAGAATATTAAGTTTCTGCCTATAAATGATGTGTTTATTAATGACTTTGAGGAAGAAGTTAAAAGCAAGCTGAAGGAGTGAGAGAGGTATAACAACTTTGAGACTAGAATGCAAGATTGTGCATAGTTTAGGGTTTCCTTTCTTTAAAACAAAGCTGAACATGAACTTTAGAATGCTCTGTGCTGGGTATTTTAATCTTATTTTAATAAAGCTCTCAATTTCAGATATTTATTTTGTTAGGAGCTACTGATACCTCCAAAAGCCAAGTCAGAATCCTCAATAGTTTATTCTCATATGTGGGTATAATTACTTGGCAAGATTATATTTTACAGTCTAAAGCTCTATATTAAGACATTTCTGGAATAGTATTTGAAGAAGCATCCAAAGCATTGTATCCTGCTCCCTTGTCTAATGTATACATATATATAATTTAATAATTTCTTTTTTTTAAAACCTATTTATTTACTTAAATTAGTTAATTTGACTTACATATATTAAGTTATGGTTTTATTTCCTGGTGTACTTTTCCTTATGAAATAAATCAATAGTTCTGCTGGAGTCCCAATTTCTTAAATCATTGTAGTTTTTATTCAATTTATTGTGTAATAGGTTGAAAATAGCTTCCTTAGCTGGCAGTTTGAAAAAAGTCTGTCCGGTTTCCAGTGCTTGTAAACTTCATTATAAAACAACAGTAAGTACCACAGTGTAATAAGCAGGTCTTCCAGAATGACAGGCAAATGCAGGAAGCTAAAGTCATTATAGTCAATAAATATATAAAGTTTAGCAATGAATAATCATTTTTCTTTAGCAGGGATATATTTTCTCTGAAGTTTTACTGTACAGAAGCCTTTAGCTCCTTTTCCTGGAGTGGCATTATCAAGTGTCATAGTCTTTTTTGGAAAGATCCTCAAATACCTGACAAATTATACAAGTTATTTGCAAACTAGAAGAATTGTGATTTCTTCCTATGAGTAAAATAAGGATGGTCAGCAAAAGAAAGCAGTTCTACTGACAGCCTCTGTGCCATTACCAGAAGTGTAGTGTAAAACAAAAAGATGTTTAATAGTATGGGAGGCTGAAAAGCTGGAGAAGAAATTCTGAAGGAACACCAGGCTCTGGCATCCTGCTGGAAACGTTACTTCAGTTCATCGAATTTTCTTGTGAGTTTGCTTAAAGCCTGTTCTATTTTACTCCTTAAACTAAATGAATAGAAAATACAAAATGCTGTCAGCTGGGTAAACAGTGGGTAAATAGCTGCAAAGCAATGGTGCCCCTTTCTGTGGCTGTGCTAACAGTGCACGCAGGGTTACGTGTCAGCGCGATTATCACGGTGTGATCGCAGTGCACCCGCCCAGCTCCACAGGAATAGGAATGCTATCAAGGCCTGACAAGCTTTTGAAGAGCTGCCAACCTGCAGGAGCTGTCAGTGCTAGAAGACACAGCCCCATGTGGGCCAAATAGATAAACATGTCAGATCCTCAATAGCAGCTTTGGAACAAGTTGTTTTCATCTGTCCCAGTGTGCACTGGCTCTGGGTCACAAATTATCATTGCTTGGAGCATCCTCGGTTTGTAGTTGCTACTGCTTTTCTGGCATGTGAGCTGTCTTGTGACATCCTTGAATGCCCTCTTGTATGGACTATTATCTGTATTTCATAGGGAAAAATATACATATGCATAAATATATATTTATCTGCTGGGTAAATGCTTATGAAATAGCTGCACATAATTTTTTTCTGTAACTCCAGTGCTTGCCAACAGTTCATGTGGGCTTGTATTTCAGCACTATTTGCAATGTGACCCACCCATCTCTGCAGGAAGTGGAACATATATGCAAATGCATATGCATATTTATGTAGAATAGCACCCTCGAGATACAGAAGCAGAATTTTACATTCATTGCTCTGAGGAACTTTCTGTCAGTCTATATAAGCGTGGTCTCAATTAGGAATGAACCCAGTGGGAATTTAGCCAGTACTGAAAGGAGGCTTTGGTTCTTGCCATCAGGCTGAGCCTCAGGAATACATAGAGAGTCTGAGGTGTTTATTGCACCCTTGAAGCACAGTAATACCAAGATTGGTCCTACACAAAAATATGTGCTGCTTGTTCTATAGCTCAAAGGAAGTTAGCTTCCTGCCTGTCAGCAAAACTGCAGACAGTCTGAGAGTGAAGCTTTCTTGACCTGTCAGAAGAAAGTTTGCCAGGAAACATAATTAAAGGCCAAAGAGTCCTGTGGAAACCACTGGAGATATTTAAACTTATGAAAGTGGGGCATCAGAACTGAGCTAAGCTGGGATAAACCCTGTGAAATTTCAGGTTAGGGTCTTCCAGAGGCAGAGGTGATATCTTTGTGCTTGCTGGCCCTTGGAGGGGTCTGACCTCTGAGCTATTTACTCTATAAAGCTGTTGGACAGACTTAAATTTAGGTACCCGTGCAGACAAAGTGAAAGCTTTTGAAAAGTGTTTACAAACACAAAACAACAGATGGAGCAAGACGTGAAGAAAGCAGTATGAATCCAGAATGACAGCAGTCCTAGGTGGAAGAGGGTGTCTCTCTTATTTCCTTTTGCGTTGTTGCCATAAATTATGTTTCCATAAACATCCGCTGTCATTTTTGTATTTTACCCTTGTGTTTAGCTATAAAGAATGGCTAGTATCCTGTCCTCTGAAAACATTTGCTTATATTGGTCATTGGCTTTTTCAAAGGTAGGATTTGTTTTTAGTCTGGAGTGATAAACATGTCAGGAGC